TCCAGGATATTTCAGAGATAAGGCGGGTGTAATTTCTTTTATTGGACCAACTTCTGTTGGAGAGCGAGTCACACTTTGGATCTTACACAGAGCTCTTCCTCAGGTCCAATACATGATTAAAAGTAAATGAAAACCAAGGGAAGGAGCCAAAAATCACAGCCCTCTCCAAACAAAGACCATCCATGTGTAGCCAGGACTCCTCAGTGATTTCAACAGAGACTTCTATTTAGCAACTCATAATATGATATGGACCGGAGTGAGCAAGGAGGAGGCCTGTACTGATTTTGTCCATGGGGTTTCTTTTGTCTAGGAGGCTGCTTCTGGTGATTTGGGGTTGAACATATAAACAATATGGGGCTTGATCAGGCGGTTCTTGTTCAAGCAAAACTCCCCACTGGCTTGATTGGGAGCTCAGTCCAGACTGCAGAGTCTGGTCCATAAAATAAATAAGGAGGGAGAGAAAGCGCTTTTGATCCTTATCACAAAATAAGAGGGGCAATCAACAGGCCCCAGCCCTCTTGGCTCGGACTCATTGTGTCAAGCTAACCTAACAAGAAAGCTTTACATTTCCAAGTGAAATGCGTAACTGTTTTATCGGAGGACAATAAAACTTTGTGTGTTGCGCTGAGATGCATGCAAGGATTCCTCCATTTACCTCCCCCAGACAACAAAGCGAAGCCCCTGGCCACTTCTCTCCAGTGTATAAAGATAATTTCTAGCTGATATGTCAGCAATATACTATCGCAGGGCATTGATTTCAATTGGGGGGGGGGGAGGAGGCGGGTTAAAACTGATGGCAAGATATGACTCCCTCAAGAGTACAGTTTATGCAGAAAAAACTCCCAAGAATAAAACTCACCAGGGTTTAAAAACCAGTCCAACCCCCTGAGCTCACCGATATGCGCCGCTCATCAGCTGTGAATCTGTATTTTAAACCCCATTTATTTCTCATCAGAAGGGCTGGAAAATATTAGTTTGGGTTTTAAATGAGGAGAAAGGCGATCGTAGCAGATAATTCTGTCTATTCCCCCACTGTCTATTCCCCCGATTGCTAAGATCCCAGAAAGTCGGTGGATAATATTTTACCGTTGTATATAAAAACAGATCCCTCAAATCTCGGAAAACCTCCCTCATTCATTTTTTGTCTCCAGCGGCTGCTCTCCTCGCCTTTGCTTGGTATTTAGACACTTCCTATACTCCCCGTCACTCTGCGTGATTTCCACAGCGTTGTGTCTTTTTTAAACACAGACACACAAATCATACAAAACACAAGCAAGACGCATACGCACGTACACAAACAAATCAACCCCACATACATACCCCTACGCTCATTATGGGGTGCGTTTGTATGTGTTTTGTGTTTGTGTGTGTCGTTTTTGCGCGCATGAAAATGTGAAACACACACAAAAATAAAATCCTACAGGCACGCAACACAAAACAAACGTACATGCGTATATGATGCAAACACACACTAAACACAACCCCGCCAGAACATGCATACGCGCTTAGATGCACAACACAAAACAAACGCAGAAACACACACACATAATAGAAACAACAAACAAAAAGCACACATTTATACCCGGGCAACAACACCGACATACAGACAGCCAACAGGCAGCCAGCCACAAGAGACACACACAACCCCAAACCAAAGCTCCCGGACCCACGTGCACAAACCCACACAAACAGACCAGGGAAGCAAAGCGTCAAGTTTTTGCAAGCCCGGTTGTTCTCTGTCTTTGGGCTCGCTGGAATCTCCCACCGGCTCCTCGCCCCAGTCTCAGACCTGACCCCCACAGCTGCAAAACCCACCCGGGCTGGCTTTCTCACCGCGCCCGCTCTCAGCTGCCTTCACTGGGCCATAAAGTACAGAGAGAGATGCCAGGGCTGGACCCCAGTGGAAGCGACTTCATGCCTTTTGCACCTGCAGCCGGTTGCTTTCGGAGGAGTTTGGCGTGCCGGGGAGGCGAACGGCAGAGGGGGCCCCCCGCTGCAGAGCCGGGAGCGGGCGCAGTACGGCGCGAGTCCGCCCGGAGAGGCCGGGGTTTATAGAGCGTTTTATTTTTTTACGCGAGACAATAAAACCGCTCCCGAGCCGTTGGGTGAAAAAAAAAAAAAACGCGAGTGAAATGCAATTGAGGGGCAGAGCCGGGGCTACGCTGCGTCCCTGGGCTTGTGTCAGCGGCTGGAGCTGCTCACACGTGAATTAAGTAATGCCCACTTGGCATTACTGCTGCAGGAAAGATGACAGTCCCCTGGCCTTAGACTGCCGGCCAGGGCCGCAGACCTCACTCCAAATTGCAGGGAGCGGCAGTTTAGCCTCATGAAAGGCTGCCGGATCCCCTCCCGCAAGGAGGGTTTTGTTTGTACCAAAATAACCTGGTAAGATCCTATATAAACAACTAATTACTCTGGTCAGTTTCCTTCACAGGCCACAGGCTTGGGCCTGGCTTGAAGGCACTAATGGTGTTTTCTTGTCCATTTAGTCCTCCCCGTTTAGCAGGCGGGGGGGAGACAGACAAGCGGACCTGTGCAGCCCCCTGAAGGCGGATAGGGGGCGATCTGGAGTGCAGAGAGGCAGAAAACTCATGTTCAATCTGGCAGAGGATGGTGGAAAATTACACTGGCTCCTACCCACATGTCCGCTCTGTGCAGCAGTGAAAACCATTTCCCCACGGGATGAGCGAAAATAAATCAGCACGACAAGCAGCCATATAGCGGAGCCTTTCCCCTGCACTAAGGCGGCCCCGATGCTGCGGCTAGTTCCCTGGCTCAGAACCAACCTGGCCCTTCGGCATCACACTCCTCCCAAGTCACTAGGCAGCACCAATGCGCCTTACATCTTGCTGGGTTCCCCTCCAGCTTTCCCCTCGGCATTTGCCGTGTGCTCTTAGCATTCCTATCGAGTTTTCTATCGAGGAGTCCCCATTAGACGAGAGCACCCTGTTACCTCTCCAAACTATAATTGTAAAGTTATTTAAATGAGACGACCCCAAATTCGTCCCTGGCTTCAGTGAATTCGTCCCACTGGTGTGTTCTGGCATTAGCCCATTTCCCCCAATTAAAACCCAAAGGGAAAAATTGGAATTTGCTTAGAGGGGTTTGTCTGTAAAACTGCCTCTGGGCAATCTATTTATTCAAGTGACATTCCAGTTCTAAGCCTCACAAGTGGATAAGTTCAAACTAGAAAACCCAGTTTAGTTAAATAAATGCGCAGGGACCACCTACCTTCTCTCAGCACCGAACTAAACAATCCCACCCAATATTAAAAGGTTAGGGGCATTCGGATATGGTAAACACACACCATATCACGTTCATCCATTTTATATATATATAATATGCTGGACTGTAATAGGAAAAGGTATTGAGCGCCTTGTGAATGCAAAATTATTAATATATACTGTCTAAACAGATGATGGGAGTTTTATAGTAAAGCTGCACACTAGATTTAACCTTGGGAGAGTTTACAAAAAACTGGGGATAAAAAGTTGATGGCTTAATTTTTCTGACCGATACAAATGATACCCCAAGGCTTTCTTGAAACACAGCAACTGGCTGCAGGGAAAGTGCTTTTCCTATCACTGCAGCTGGAAAGAGAGGGGTTTTCCTCCTTCTCCCAAAAAGCATCTAGTTGTATGTCATCACCCCATGACAACCGTCTCACCAAAGTACATCTAGTTCATTTGAGACTGTACTTAATCGCAAACCCAAACCAGAACGGCGAGCCGAAAGGGATCCCGTATGTCCCTTTCAAGGCCCTCCAGACCTGATTTGCTATTTGTAGTGTCTTGCCTTTTAGCCTTGTATTTAGCACTAACAGTTCCCAATGTGACCTGGGAGAGATACAGGTACAAAGATGTATAATTTAGAAGTAATTTTTGGGTGGGAAAACTATCATATAGTTCCATAGCCCTCTCCCTCCACAGAGTAAAAATGCTTTTCTGATGAACTGATTGAGGAAAGGGCACAGGAATTTGTTAGCCAGCCAGCTCATGTTATTCAGTGCATCTTTAGATCTAAAATGTGTGTCTGTTTGTGGATTTAAAAAGATGTCACTGATCTAGCATAATCAAAGACCCAAGGTCTAAGTGTCTATCATTCGCTAGGAACCTTTTTAGTTTTTGAGGAACTAAAACCTGTAGTTTAAGCAGAAAAGAGGCTGCAATTGGAGCCACTCGATATTATGTTTCCTTTTATTCCCCCCCCCCCCTTGTTTCATTCGAGCAGCCTTTTAATTGCTGGCAGTGTTTTGATGGGGGAAACACATCCCCCCTACACAGGACATATCCTGAAAGGTTGAAATACTCCAATAATGCACTGTGTTCTTTAATGTTCTCAGAACAACACTGACATGGAGAGCCAGGATATTTCCTGTTTTAAAATACAAAATCGGAGAGACGATTAACTTTTGTGTGGATTCAACTCCTTAAAATCAGAAAAAAATCCCCAAAATGTTGACTTTAAAGGTTAGAAACCAAGGAATATAGTGTCCAATTTTGCTCTCTTATTCACCAGTGTAAATCTGGATTTACCACACCGAAGTCATTGCAGTTACTCCACATTTACACCGACAGCAGAGTTTGGTCCATTGGGATTTATTTTACACCTCTCGCTGTCTCGTTTGTGTATTTTTCCTTTAGAAATTATGCAGAGAACAAACATAATAGAGAAATCTCAAAGATAAGAACTTGACACTTTCCTTCCAGTTTTATTGTAAGAACTGTACCTTAACTAACAACTTGGTAAGAGATAGGAAAATACTGCCTTCAAGAAAGCTGTGTTAATCAGCACAACGGGTTAGATGTAAAAGTTCAGAGCAAACAAAACGAATTAGTCTCTATTAGCACGTTTAGGAGGCAGTCCAGCTAAAGAATTATGCTTTACTAGAGTGTGGTTTTTCTCCTTTGTTACTTAAAAGTAACACAAATCTGATATGTATCACCAAGAAAGAAAACAACAAACCTTTCAATCCATGTTCAATTTCTCTATTGTCTTACCTAAATCCACATAGGAAGGTATATTCTTGGAAAGACTCAATTCCATAATAAAATCTGTGTGAACAATAAAATAAACTGTAAACGAAAATCGGTGGGGTTCGCCAGATTATTATCTAACTTTTTGTTTAATTAACTATACTATGGCTAAGGCAAATTTTTATTAAAAACAATTAACTTTTCACACTGGATGTTGCCATTTTTTTAATAACTCGGCGGGACTTCTATAGGGACTTGGACAGTATTCCAAGCCAATAAGAAACTCTTAATGAATTATATTTGAGTTAGTTTTTGTAAAGCAAACAGCACTCCTCACAATATGGAAGTCAAATGTAAAATCAATAGGTAGAAACGGGGGCAATGAGCCACCGTGAGAACATTTAAACTGGTGTGGTAAGTAGCAATATGATTTATTTTGTATAAATAAGCCGAAAACACCTTAAAGAGCCAATTCATGTACCAAAAGATAGTTCACGATGTTCTATTTTAATATGAGTTTTGTATTAACCATTTAAATATGCTTGTGTTGTTGGAAATATTCAAGAAGAAGACAATAATATCCTGGGTTGTTTTTTTTTAAGTCAAGATTTAGAAAAACTTCCTAATCACATAATTCTGTATGAAACCACAATATACACTTTAGCCTAGTTAAGAGATGGAAAAAGATTACTTATCTACAGAGGTATGAGAATGTTATGCCTCATTTCTCCTTATCACTGTTTTGGTAACAGTTATTTCTTAAAGTTTCAGGAGTTTTAGGATATATACATGCTCTCTTTACTACTGACTGAGATGGTGTCTATTTTAAAAATGAGATAGGAACCGATTTAGGAAGGATCTAAAATATTATTTCTCTAAAAATGAAAATTAACATTGAACAGACTTTTTTCTTCCTATGCATAATGCTAATCAATATGTCGTCACCTGTTACATATTTGCATAATTGTGATACTTTTTTTCAGACATTAGTATGAATCCAAAGCTCCTTTCCATCTCCGAGTAAGAGGAATTTAAATACAGCATTTTTAAATGCCATTTTCTAACCTTTACTACAATAAATTCTTACGGCTTAAAATCACACTGTTAAAACCAACTTGTTTGGGTCATAAATGATTGTCATATGAATTTTTACACCTGTGAAATATTATTATGGTCCTGTGAGCTGTAAGAAGTTACCCGCAATAGCGCTACCTCGCAAGGTTATTTTTTAATACCAAAGATCAAGGAGCTTCAGCCCGTAAAAAAGAAATCTCACGAACCCTTTCCATAAAAGTATAACATTTATTAGCGATGTTAAAATTTGTTCCTTGTCACGTTTATCGAGGAGTTTCTCTTCGCCAGCCTTGATACTGTACAGCCCTGGCCACGTAGAAAAACCACCCTTAGCTGAGACTGTTTTTGCTTAAATCTTCCCGTATGTAAAATGAGGTAACCCCCTTGGAATTATATTTTCGAACGTATTTGTCAGTTTTGACGAAGTGCAGAGACCCTGAAGAATTTATACAAGGTATAAAGATGTCAAGGACTGCAACTTCAAGGCGAAGGCCAGCAGTCAGGAGACCAGCGGGAATGGGCGAGTTTGCCTGGGAAAAAGCAGCGCGGGTGGAATTGGCTTCCCTAGCCCGTCCCCTCTCAGCTCCCGGCTGCTTCGGGGCCGAGCAGACCGAATTGTCGCCACGTTCAGCCCCGCCGTGGAAGGGCTGTTTGGGAAGCGCTTTCCCCGGGGCAAGCTGACGCGCTGATGGGGGAATTCCCTTCCCAGGGGCAGGCTGGCTGCTTCGGTCGAGGGAACTGCCGGTGTAGCTCGCTTCTCTTTGAACGTCTCTGCTCAACCCGGTCCTGAAACGGGGCAGGGGGCCACCCGCCTAATGGCAGGAGCAACTGTACCGGTCACGCTCCCCTAGCGCAAACCCGGGGAGAGGGCCCTGCCCCATGGGAGGAGGGATGCAGGGCGAGGGTTTAGGGGGAGAGCTGGGGATTGGGGAGTTATGATTTCAGAGTTTGGCGCTAGACACTTGCAACCCAGGCAAACGCCGCCCGGCTCCCCCGGGCCTGCAGGGCAGAAGGCGCCGGGATCCAGGCTTTGCCACCTGCAAAGGTGAAGGAAGTAAGAGGGGCACTTACCTGTGAGCCGCTCCCGGGCGACGCGGCTGGCAGGGCTGGGATCGCTCCTTAGGCACCCGGTACAATCCCAGGGAGAAGGGCTAGGGGCCGCCTCGGCTCGGGACGGGTATCCTGGGCTGAGTTTTGCTTCTGCTCCGGAGCAGCGACAGCTCAGCGCGCTCCGGGAGGGCGAGGGTCCATGTGCCCCGAGCTCTGAGCGCTCCTGTCCTGCCCCCGGTGCACTCCGGTGCCGGGGGAGCCTTTGGGAGGGGGCCGCAGAGAGGGTCTGGCTTCGGGTCTCAGCCTCCTGCCCGGGGCTCCGGTGCAGAGCTGGCGCGCGCCGAGCTGGGAGCTGCCCGGGGCTCCCGTGGAGAGCTGGTAGCCTCGGCTCGCCGCGCTCCTTGCCCCGGGGCCCAGCACCGAGCTGTGAGCTCCCCGGCCGGGGGCTTTGGGGTTTTCTCCAGGAGATTCCCCCGGCTCCTTCTGACGTCACCAGCGTCCCAGGGTGCCACACACTCGGGAGAGGGGAGTGCGCCGCGGAGACCCGTGCGCGGGGCTCCCCTGCCACGGGCCCGTGGGGGAAACACGTTCCTCTTGGTAGCTCCGGGCGATTAACCCTTGCAGCCGACCCGCCTCTGCCCCTCGCAGCCAGAGCACATGGCCGGGACTCCTTCGCAGGGGGGTGGGCGGGGGGAGCCTGCTTATTTATAACTCTCTGCACAGGGACGCTTAGGAATCCAGGGCTCTGGGGGGAGGAGGGGGGCTGATTATCCCGGAGCTGCCGGCTGGTCCCCAGCACTGTCAATGGTTTGACTCCTCAGCCGAGATCTGTTCTGGGAAGGAACAAACCGGGAGCGGCGTGCGCTCCTCAAAGCAGGTTTGACGCATCTGCACCGCTCACCCGAGGAGGGGGCATTGGTGCGGGTTGATTCTCGTCCCTGGCAGAGACGCGTTTGGAGAGTCCACGGACGTCCGTCGTTCGACAGCCTCTTATTCTCTTGCGCCCAACATTTTTTTTTTAGTACTTTCAAATCAGAAGCCCTTTATCAGGGGAAAGGGCCCCAGTGCCCTGGCTCTGAGGCCAAGCAAAGGAAACACAAATTGGCCTGCTCGTTTTTCTTTCTCTCTCTGAACACTCAAATGGCCCTTTCTGCCAACAGCTCTCCAGCACTTCAACCGCGCTGGACACTATTGCTATTGACAGATGCAATAACATTCCCCCCTAGCCTTCTCCTCCCCCCACCCCGTTGCGAGGACCTATATCAGGGATCCTAGCGTTGGAGAACAAGGACTTGCCTGGGGATTTGCAGAAGGGGATTCCTTTCGGTTCCCAGGCCTAATCCCCCAATTTCTGGAGTTAGCCATACCTTTGATTAACTCACTGCATAACAGGATGCAGGGTCAACCTGCAAAGGAAAGCCTAATAGGCGCAGGGTATTTGCAGGTGGAGGATTGGGCTGGGGGTTGCTATGATTTTCCTGGTGTGGGGGGAGGGCTCTTCTCTCACTGGGGCAGGAGCACTGGGTGCAGCTACTTGGTTTGTATTTTACTCAGGATCAGATGGTATAGTTGGACCGGGTGTGGGAACACTACTAAATCCACCCAGTTTTCTAGCCCGAGCCCTCGGTTCTCAGGACTCAAGTGCCAGGAAAAGGGATACAGAAGTTCATTTTCTCTTGCCCTTTTTTGCAGGGGGTGGGGGGAAGAGGAGGGGGAAGGGGCAGCAGAGGGTTAGCCATTTATTTATTTTTATTGAAAGAAAAGCCCCAGGAAAAACTCAGGACCTGGGGGTTTTAACCACTTAGTTGTTGAATCTATCTATCTATTTTTATTGAAAGAAAAGCCCCAGGAAAAACTCAGGACCTGGGGGTTTTAACCACTTAGTTGTTGAATCTATCTATCTATCTATCTATCTATCTATCTATCTATCTATCTATCTATCTATCTATCTATCCTTTTAAAGACCCTTTACATGAATTCAGTCTTTCAGAGAACTTTCTGAAGTTTCCCTACTCAGTAAATTCAACTCCAAGATCTTTCTTTTTTCTTTTCTTTTCTTTTCTTTTCTTTTCTTTTCTTTTCTTTTCTTTTCTTTTCTTTTCTTTTCTTCTTCAGAGACAATCACCAAAGCCAGGGCTTTTACTAGCATGCCCACAGTGTCCGGAGACACTCACAAGGCAGAGACCCTTTAACCATTGGGTTTGAGTAGGGGCATCTCTTGGCATTCAGCAAGTCTCAAGGCCTATAACTGTAACTGAAAAACAAGGGAGACAAATATGGAATGGATCACGAAGATAAATAGCATACAACCAGGAACAGTCCAATCCCACACTTGCCATTTGTTGCATAGCGAAGGAATAAATGGGATTCACATGTTGGGTATTAGCTGGCTGTTAGACTGTAAGATAATATTAACTTTAGTGCTTTATGGTTTACGCCACTTTTCCAAAGACCGCTCCAGAAGGGATCCAGCCTGTAATTTAGGATGGCACACACTGTGCCAAAAAGGCTTTGGCACCAGGTCCTTCCCATCACATTAAGGTGATATTAACACAATAAAACGTTTGGAGAGGGAGCAAGAGCTCATAAATTAATGCATTCTACTGTTTTAACGCTAGCAGCTAACAATGTGTTTCCTGTTTGGCTGATAGTCCCTGCTGCAGCCTAGCAGCTGTTTTAAAGGTGCTGTGAAATTAAAGAGAGGGAAGATGATTGTCTTTAAATCAATGTTTAATGATGTGCTGTTATAACGTCTTCCTCGAACAGCTGTTTACATGTGAAACCTACATGGACATGAGGAAGGGGAGCTTCCCCCGTTGTGTAGATCCCTGGGTGCCTGATGGAAAAGGAGGAGAGAGGGATGCAGAGGGTGGGGTTGGGTTGGGGCGTGGGAGACCTGGAGGCAACACAGGCAGAGAAAGGGAGAAAACAATCATTACAGCAATTGTGTTGTCTGCTCCTCCCTATGCTTCCAGCCTCCTATAAAGGCTTAATAGCTTAGAGCAGGCCTTAGACCCAGCCCAAGCTCCAAAAGCCCCCTGAAATACAACAAAACTGACCCCATATTAATCCGGAAGAGCTCTAAACTGTTGCAGCCGAGCCACCTCAATTCCATCCAACCTGCTCAACCCTTTCCCCCAGTGTATCCAGAGACACACACTGAGACTTTCCAGCAACCCCCCGGCCGTTGCTGCTTTCCCCTGTAATGTAAACAATCAAAAAGAGCAACAGCCCGAGTTGGTACAAACACATTGGGTCCAGTGGAGTTGCTTGGGGGAGGAACGTGTCCCAGCTTGTGTAGCTAATAATGGGCTGTAGTCCACGAAAGTTTATGCTCTAATAAATTTGTTAGTCTCTAAGGTGCCACAAGTACTCCTGTTCTTCTTTTTGCGGATACAGACTAACACGGCTGCTACTCTGAAACCTGCCTAGTCAATGTGCATTTCACTGGGTTGTACACTTTAGGATGATGTGACAATACTGCTGGCACAGACATTAGGTACCAAGGTTTCACACCTCTTCTCCAATAATCCTGAGTGTCCTGAAATATAATGGGGGAGGTAATTGGGAACCTCCCTGAGGACACACCATTTCGCCAGTGAAAATTTAGTCATTTCTTCTCTTATAATCTTATTGCACCAGAAATACTATAAAACTGCTGCTGTGTAAGATGGTCCTAATGATCTGCCAAGGTTCCTTTTCCAACGTGGCGTCTGTGGCATTAATAACACTGGACTGTTCATGCTTCCATGCGATTGCATAGCCATGTAGCAAGGCTGCTGAGCTGGCTTCATACTTAACAGTCAACAGTTTTTATACTGCTGTTTGCTGCATCTGAACGAGACAGACTCTTGGACAGGTAGTTAGAATGCTCCCAAGTCAAAATGGCATCAGACCATTTCCAGGCTCTCCGGCTTCTGCACCAACAAAAAGCACCAATTTTGTTTTACAACCTCTGTGAAAAAGTAAGCCATGCCTGAAATTGTTGAAAGCACCCTTTGCTTTAGGGACTTAGCCTCCTAAATCTCATTACCTTTCAAAAGGCTCCTTAGAGCCCATTTCACTTTTGAAACTGGGACTCAGGCTCCCAAGGCATTGAGGTGCTTTTGAAAATGTTACCCAATGTCTTTTGTGTGCCAAAGCTATTTGTGACTTAAAATAGTCCCCCTGTTAAAGATGATCTGTAAAATGTGCTTTTAGAAAAACATAGGAATCTTATACACTTTTGTACTTCAGTCGTGGCTCTTGACACCTTGCCAATTGCCTTCCATACCTAAAAAAAGCATTTGTAATTAGATAACCTCAGTATTTGCAGTATTTAAGATAGTGCCTACAGTATGTATCTGGACAAGGGAATACTGCAAATACTGAGATAACCTTATCTGTTTATCTTAGGTAAGCCATGACAAGCTTTCAAGCCACTGTACCTGTCATTCAAAGATCTCAAAGCACTCTATAAACACTAACAGAGATGCAGAGTACCTCTGGAAGAAATTTAATCTCCTGTAGAGGATTCCCATTGCGGATGGATAAAGCCATAATTTATCCCAGTTTTAGAGAGGAATAAACTTCGATAGAGAATAACTTGCTAAAGGTCAAACAATAAGTCAGTGGCAGGGCTGGGGCTAGAGCACAGGCATTCTGTCTCCTAGATTCCTAACTACTTGAGAAAACTCATTAACTTCAATTGATTATATATAAATCTTTCTTAAGTCAAAATCCTGGCCCTTTTGATGGCAATGGGGGTCTTGCAACTGACTTCAATAAGGCAGGATTTCACCTTCAGAGTTTAAAATGAAGTATGATTTTGCGGTGAAGGCACAGGATCAGAAGTTAGGAAACCTGCTCTGTGCTGGCTTATACCATAGTTTCAGTGTGTGGGGCTTTGATCCAAGCCAATTTGAAGTTAGTGGAAGTTTCTCTGTGCCTTAGTTTTCTCATCTGCAGAGTGGGGATAATAATACTTCTCTCATAGAGGTAAGGTTACATTCACATTGAGCTCCTTGAATGAAAGGCACCATAGTAGTGTAAAAGATTACTGCAAATAATGACACAATTGGGATCTGTCTGTGGACTAGTATTCAAAATGGCACAAAGTCAAAATGGCACCAAATAATTCCTGTTTCCAAAATACTAATGAAAGGTATGTGCAGTGGCCAGTTTAATCTCACCAGATTAATAACTGTAATCTTAATTTCTGGGTAGGGAAAAATGAGTAGTTTACATTGTTATCTGCTTGCTGGTAAAATTGCATACAACTGCCTGCAACTGTCTTGGTTTGAGGTTTCTAAAAACAATAAACTTCTTCGCCCCTTCTAAATCATGGAAATAAAAACAGTAATAATTAATACATTATAAACAAACAACTTTGATACATATACAACCTTAATTATAACTGGCGACTGTTATATGAAAAGTTTGCTGCAATCTTTCACTGTCTTATATCAGCAATTAACAACAGTTTAAAACAAATTCCACTCACATAGCCTGCAAGACTCTTTAAAAGGAGATATTGGAATGAGGATCTGGATTTTTGTGTGCCTGTGTTTATATTCTTTTGTGGTGAACTGTCTCTAGCTATTGGCAAACTGAGCTGCAGAATCAAGAATCACACACAGCAAACAACTTTGTAAATGGCTTTAATACACAATCTAATTCTGTTAGGCCTTTACAAATAATTACAGTGCTGTTTGTGGCTAATGCACAGGCCATTTATTCCTATAAAACTGCTTATCATTTCTTAAGAGTGACTTTTTTGAGATGTTTCTGTACAAGTTAAACATCAAAGGATGCAGAAA